ATTGAATTTAAATGCACAAATTTTTTACTTCTTCGCATAACTATTAGTTGCTAAATTTTAAATTTTGCAAAACTTTTCTTTGTTGAAGAATTTTAACGAGCTTTCAGATTGGATTTGAAATGATGATTATTATCTAAACATTAAGTCCCATGACGATACACTCAGACATGTAAATTTTGAAATGTATCTTTTAGTAATCATTCCGTGTCGATTTCATTGATATCTACTCGCTCAAAAAAAGTTGCATAAAGTGAAGATTAATAAAAGCTAAATGAATCGATTAATTAATTTAAATATGCTTTTCATTGCTGAGATTGTGGACACTTTTGTCCCTCTTGTTTATTTGTTTCAGTGATTTAAAATGATGAATAATTTAAAATAATGAATCATACTTCATTTTATGGAAATGCAAAAAGATAACATGAAAATAATTCATAAATAAAAGAGCCTTTTGAAGCACTTTCATATGAAAATATAATAAAAAATTAGTTTTTATCAAGTTTTGAATCATAACGATAACCGACAAAAAAGACTTCCAGTTTTCTAATTACAAATGCGACAATTGCGCCACACTTCGAAAGTATGTTAGAATTGTCACTGATGTAGTATTTTTTCTTTTCTTTTTTCCATAAAATAACTTAAATCAGATAATAAGGAAAGCGAGTCTAAACTATTAAAAGTTGGTAGTGCACATTGATTAAAATTCACTTTTCCGAAATAGCAACTTATTTGCAATTGCTTAAGTTCATCGCTATAAGTAGTAAAAGCAACTTTTTTATTAATTACTTGAAACTTATTTCCTCAAGTTATGTGTCATATTTCAAATATCAGATGCTGCTCGTCATTTAAATTGTTAATGCATTGTTAAACAAAAATTATTTGAATTGTTATCATCACTAGACAATAAAGGGAAGAGAATTTCAAGTTTATTTCTACCTCAAATGTTAAATGTTAGGGGTTAAATGTTAAATCATATCACACTAAAGCAGTAAGCAGCAAGTTGCAGTTTGTTATTTGATAATATTTGTTAAAATATTTCAAAATGCTCAATAATTCCCAATTTGTTTATCTATTGCATCATAGTGAACACTTATGTTTTAGAGTAGCTTTATCTATTTCAAATGATCACAAATAGAAAAAAGTCGGCAAGAAGAATATTAATTCGAAAGAACCGCATAGTAATCCAAATTATTAGGTCTTTTTTGCTTACCTTAAAGTTAATAACCTTTCTACCGAAATTTTATGAAATGTGCTTTTTTTCCTTTACAATAAAGAAAATCCTGATGCGAAGTAAAAATTAAAAACGCTAAAATTCTTATTTTTCAGAAAATTTTCCGGACTTAAAAGAATATAAAATGATACTGTTGCAGCATACGGAAGGGAAAAAAGGAACTGTCTTTTTGTTCATGAAGAAAATTAAAAGATACATTTTTAAAATGAATTAATTAGGAAGGAAAAAAGGGATTAAAAAAAACTTATCGTGCAGACATTTGCACCGTTCAGGCCATGCAATTATTTGTAAGCGGAAAATAAAAAAACAAGCCAGGGATGAATAATTGCATGAAATTTACCTCATCTTTGTTGAGCCCACCGATCTTAAAAAAGAAACTTTCATCTTTTTTATTTTGAAAATTTAATATGTAATCAAAATTTATCAAGCATTATATTTTGTAGATAATTTTGCTTAATAATAGCTTTAATACATTCATATGTGAATAAGTACCAGTCTTCTCACGAAAAATTAATCATATGAATTATCTGTTTATTCACTTATAAATATTCATTTCACATAGAGTGAAGAAAGTGAATAATTCAGTGAAATTTCAAGAAAATATCTCAACTTTCAATATAAATGCTCTTAATGTTAAAAATACCTTAGTTTTTTAAATTCCAATTAATCTAAAATTGATTCTTTCTCTCAGCACATTTACATCTATTCATAGAGTCATTCTCAGAGGTACTAATTAAGCCTTACTGTGCATTTCTTCTGACCTCACTGTCTTTCATTTTGCTTATTAATCTGGATTTAGGAGCATTCCCTGGAGTTGCTCCCAGAGTAATCTTTAAACTCTAACTATTTATCTTATTGTTTTTCATGGTCTACAATTGTCTGAATTTAATACACAATATTAAGCTATTACTGATAATTCAAAACTTTAAGAATGACATCTTCTAAAATAACTTTTGCTATTAAAAAGACTGAAAATGGTAGCTTTACTTTAAGATTTATTTAATGATTTGAAAATATTTCAATGAAAAGAGTGCCAGAAGTTTATTGAATCAAAATATCTGTGCAAAAAAATATTCCTATGACGAATTTTCTTTCTTATCTCAATTGATTAATCTATCAAGGATGATATAATTCGATTTTGTAGGCATTTTATAAATGAAGTTTAAATCGCTATTACAACTTTATAATTATCACCCAAAGCAACAATAATTATAATTAAAAAAAATTTTGTGATATAACGTTTTAAATGAAATGAAATCTCCTCATACTAACCAATTTTTTAATTTACATGGGATTTAAAAGGAAAACTTAGTAGTACTAAAGATTTTACATAGGATTTAAAAAGAAAACTTAACAGTACTAAAGACTTATAAAAACATCAATCGATATTCTAATTATCTTTAAATCTTATTGAATGGCTTAAATTCATTCTGAAATTAAAAAGAAAAATCATCAGACGATAAGTGATAAATAATAATATCAGAATAATTCTTCACTCTATCAGTCTTAAGAGGAAGTGTAGGAGAAATAACCTCGTCACTGTTTGTATTTACAAGAAGAAGATCGAAGGGCACAGCGGCAATCATGTCTATTACAAACCAGCCTTTAAAATAATGTATTGCTATCTTTCCAGGATGTGAAACAACCTAAAAAAGCAAAACGAAAAAATTTTTAAATGAAAAAATGTTTTTGTTATCAATGAAATTTTTTGTTCAGATAAATAAAACTTAAAGTATTAAATAAATTTTAATTTAAAATAAGATTGAACTAAATTGAGTTAATGAAAGTAAACAACAGTTGTACATAAATGTAGAATTTAAAATTATTAACACACTTCATCGTTTTCGTTGACATAAGTTGTTCTGAAATTGATAATAATATCGACAATAAACATGATATCCACAATTAGATCAATAATTTCCAATGGTTCCGAAAAACGAGCTCTACGAGAGCTATCCTGCAAATTCGATTTTATTTTATATTAAAGGCAATTTGAATGATGAAAGCAATAAAATTTCTCATCATTTCTCAAGCAAAATTTTTACGCCTCCATGGAAATTTGACTGAATGATTAAAAAAATATGCAATGATATTCAAAAAAAATATGCATTATTCGTCTTTCTTTAATGAAATTTTAGGATTTTCAGATGGATATAAATTTTATTTTGAACTATTAGAATTAATTTTTAAATATCAATCCGAAAAGTAAAGTAAAATCAATCATAGAGCAACGAAAAGGAAATGATTTCGGGGTATATTCAACAGCAATTAAGAGATTTATTTTAAGTCAAGAAAAAGTATTTGAATCTTTAATCAAAGAAACAACCCGAGCAATACAGAAATAATTTAGAGAATATGATTGTACTGGAATGGTACTTCGGAGCACAGCTGTTCATTTATTTAGTTAAAATTAATTTGTACAAAAGTTGTTTCATTTCATGTACGGACAAGCAGAAATAAAAAGATACCTCTCGAAGTAAAAAGGCGGCAACGTAAGGCGTAAAAATGGCAGTATAAATGACCAGAAGAAGGATAATCCAATCCCAAACGGCCTTAAACGGAGAATAATGTACGATTGTACAATGATGGATCCTGAAAATTGAAAAGAAAATTTTAGAACTTTGAGGAAAAAATAATATTTAACTAAAAAATTCAGAATCTGAGTGCAGATAAAATGTTGAGTTTGAAAATTTTAAAAATATATTGAGTAAAATATGTAGATGACAATTTTTTTCTAACCTAATCAAATTTAAATATCGTTTGTGAAATTGTGAAGTCTTCAATCTTTGGTTCGGATGTTTTTTATCATTAATGTGAAATGTTAAATTGATAGGTTTATTAAAATAAAATTAACTTACCTAGTGGGCTGTAATTTATATTCCGGCAACACATCGGCTCCCAATGATAGCACCTAAAATTTATTTTTATTTTCGATCAGTGATTAAGATTGACATTTGAAATGAAGAGAACAGTAGGTGAAAAAAGGGTTAATCGTGCAAAACCAAAAATAAAAGGGTGAAATATTTCAGGCAGAATGGATGATGTTTATGAGGAATATATTGACTGCAATGATAATGATTTTAATCATTGATCATTGATTTAAAATCAAGGAATGCAATCTTTTCCTTTTCTTTCATTGGTTCGTTGTAAATTATGTGCTTCAGAATTTAGCAAGTTTCTTACACGATATTATTCAACACCCACTCGGATACTTAAAATACCCAAACATTCAAATATTTATGTTCCGCTACTATTCAATAATTCCCACAAACTAAGGAATGTTGAATAGAACATGTGTAGTGTAGGTATGTATACGTACTCAATGGAACAGTCATTTGGAAGAAATGATCTCTTCTAATTAATAATAAATGAAAAAACGCATAATGAAGATGAATCAGCATTGCAAGATGAATGAATTAGTTGTATCCTTGCAATACTAGATAATAACTTACCTTGATCACATTGCCAGGTAAGGTCATTGCAATACATCTGAACAGAAGACATCTAGGGGAAATTCTTATTGAATGAAATTAATCTCAATGTAATCTATAAAAGTCATGGCAATGACTTATATAATTATGACTTTGGAACTATTTGATGATGAAATAAATTGTGAGTTAACTTTGAACAAAAAAAAATTTTAAAACTTATGAAATATATCAAAACATATCAAAAGATGTTTTTTTTTCTCAAAAAGAATACTGCCTATCACTTTACTTATTATTTTATTTCAACAAATGGACAAATGCTTTGCTTAAATTAATTATTGATCCGATATTTTAATCAATATGTGAAATTTTTTACATCATACCAATTAATAATTCCAATTAATCTTATGTAAAAATTTATTTGAAATTATTTATATGAATTGTATTCACATATATATATGAAAGGAATCTTATCTTTGGTGAGTTTGCGCAAAAAAGAGCAAAAAATTCACCTCGAAAATTCGCTAGCAACATTTGGCATAACTTTTCTCATCAAACTGTCCTTTGGATGCATTGTCTTCTTTTCTTTCATTTGTTTACAAAAAATTGTAAATTTTCATTTAATTTATAAAAGCGATAAAATGAGATAATTGAGAAGGAACAATTTTTCTTCATTCTACACATTTAATAATCTCTTCCAAAAGTCGAAATTTCTTAATTCTGATTTAAACGACTACAAAAAAAAATCAGATCTTCATGATAATGTCATCAAAAATGACCATACATTTCCTATAGATGAATTACGATTTGTGGTAACGCTTATGTTTTTTTCGCAGATTTATGCTTCAATGATCCAATCTAATTTATGAAAAAATTTTTGCAAAGAGTAAAAAAAAAGAAGAATGAAAAACTGCAAAATATATTAAATTTTGATAAGTTTATTTTCAGATGACCGAACCGATAATAGCAAATGTAGTAGTAGTAGTAGTAGTAGTAGTAGCAGTAGCAGTAGCAAAAGTAGTAAATTGAGTGGTATTTCACTTGAACATTATTAATTAGTGTGAAAATTACCTGAAATCTTCCTCTCTTTTTTTTATTTTCGAACACTTACGAAAGTATAAGACAAGCTAATAAATAGCCTAAACCACACATTTCCAATTGAATTCATCTTTGGCTAAATAAATCATCACCTTTGCAATATTTAAGCATTGTATATTCTGACCAATAATCTACATTTAAACATTATCGTTTTGCAAAAGTTATTGAAACTTCGTTGCAGATCTAATTAGAATTAAATATAGAAGTGAAGAAAAATTAAAGGCACTTTTTCGTTCGTTAAATACCATTGAATAAAAAAATTGGATAGGAGTTCAACGTTACTAAGGCTTTCCTATGACAGTTTACATCCTAAAAACTTTTCTGTCTATAGCCTATTTCAATATATATATATATATAAGTTTCTCGAACACTATTATTTTTATTTTTTGATACATTTAAAAAATATGAAGAAAATGACGAAAATATTAAAATAAGAAAATCTAAGCTTGAAATAGAGAATATTTAAAGCACTTCAATGATGAGTGAAAAAGAAACTAGAAAGACTTTCCAGTTCAGTCTCATGATCATAGCAACTTTTTATTGTCTTTCTCTTTTTTTGAAGAAGATAAATATGGCCAACCACAAATCAATGTTTTGCTTAGGAATGGAAATGACGAAAATGGAAATTGCTAAGTTGAAAAGATGTTTAAGTGCTGATTTTAGCTTTGGTTTGTATATATCTTTGTATGAAATGATGTCATTTTCTTTTTGAAAGTTATTTTCATTATTTCGTTTTATAATCCTTTTATTTATCACTTTATCGTCATCAATGACATTTTTTATTTATGTTAAATAAGTACCAATTTTTAGATTCATACTATATGCTTATACATTACCAAGCAAACGTTAATTTTGAGAAATGTAAGAGAAAATAAAAGATGAAGTTACTTCCCTTATCAGTCAAAATACATATTTAATCATTGATGAGAATTGGTGAAAGACAAATGAGAACAAGTGATAATGATATTATTTTTACCTGGTGTGAAAAATTTATCAAGCAATCAGTAATGTTATAGGTAATGTATTTTTATCGTATTTATATATTAAACTAAATATAATAAATTAATAATAAATCATGATTATTTCGAATAAAGAAAAAATTCCGAACTACTTATTTAAAACAATAAACAAAGCCAAATGGTGGATGAATTCAAATATTAAATTGAAATTTTCTGCCAAGAAAAAAAGAATTAATGTGAAGTGATTGACTATCATTAACATGGAGTCCATCATATTTATATCACAATAATCTTATCAAGTGATAAATCCAATCAATTATTCAAATGAAAATATGTATAGCACTGATGATTATTTAAACTTCAATATCTTTTTTTAATATTTGCAAATAATTCATATAATCATTAGAGTATGGATTACAATTATTTGAAATTTATCTTTTTTATCATTGGATTAGGTTATGATAAATTGTAAAAAATTAATAAATTACACAACCGATAGATAAAATTCTCATTTAGTCCACTATATGAGATACATGAACATATGAAGTGAATGATACGCTCATTTTTTCCACATAATTCGAGCCGAATGGTAGTAGTAGTAGTTGCGGAAATTTTACGGCAACAAAGAACTTACTGCAGCAAGAGGCATTGAATCCGTTGAAAGAGATGGTATGGCTGCAGAAAGACGTCGTATAAAACTTGGATGACGATGACCAATTCGTTGATGTTGATGATAAGATACTGGCTCTTGTCTGCCAATCTTTCGGCTCCCATAATTTGATAGCGGATGTAACAGATGATTTTCCAGTGGATTCGATGGTAATAACTTAATTAAATGGATACACTTAGATTTCTTCCGTTATCATGCAATGAAATTATCATTTAACGGAGCAGTAAATATGATTCAATTCATATTTGACTTTTTCCGCTATATAGATTAAATTTAACGTAAAATTTTGCTTCATTTCATTCTGGAAACATGTGAAAAAGAAAATCCAACTTAGGTATCTCATTATGTGCAAAGAGTAAATAATTTCGAAAAATGTGACTTCAGAAACTCTGTTCTAACTAAGCAGCACTAACAGCAACAGCATATGCTAGGGAATTATATCTGATCCAATAAATGAATTGAATATTTGACAAAAAAAGTTTCTGCAAGTGACTCATTTAACATATTCAGAACAAATTGAATAAGCAGACATTATTGATGAAAACTAATTTTCTTAATATATGCAAACAGCTAATGCAATCAACAACTATTCCTTAATTTCATCACTCATTAGTATAAACTTAATTGGAAAAATTAAAATTTAAAACTATAAAATGGTATTTTTGCTTAATTTTTTTTGCAAACATTGCATTTGTAATTTGTAATAACAAAAAAAATGGAATAATTTCATTTTGAAATCAATTTGAAAATTGAAGTAAAACTGAGCTAACCCAACATATAATATCAATAAAATTTCATCCCTTCAAACATTCATTTATTACATATGTGATATAGTCGAAAATGTTCTAACTTTATCAGGACTAGTCTAACTTTATCAGGACTAATCTAACGTCTAACTTTATCAGTACTAATTTTTTTTCCTTTCTCTCATTTTCCGATACTTTTAATTAAATAATTGTTATTATTGTTTTTAATTTTCCCTACTTTCAACTTTCTCGTAAAAAAAAGTATTTAATTAATCAATCGAACCGTAGGTAAGGATGTTATTCGGGTAGATGCTGATTCCCTTTTGGTATCGCCTTTTGGTACTGATGCTAATAGTTTTGGCTGGTGCAAATTCATTCAATTTTAATGATAATAATAATAATAATGTTGTTGTTTGAAGCCAATATTTGACGAGTACCGTAGAGTTCGAATTCATTAGAATTCCTCACAATTATGTACAGACCGGTAGTGGCTGTAGAATTTTCCTTCACAATATCGTAACTTTCCAGTTAATTTGAAGAATGCATTAAAGACTGACTGATATATAGTAATATGGAAAAAAAATATTCTTTTCGTTTTCAGAACTATTGTAGCAGATTTTATGAACTGAATGCAATCCAATAATTATAATTGTAGGGAGAATTCAGTAAGATCAAACTTCTTCGAAAACTCTTTGATATCTTTTGCTATTGCAGTCATTCTCGATACGACCACATTCATTACTTTTTTCTAAACATTAGATAGAATATCAAAATTATTTTGTTAGAAGACTTTCAGCGATCACCAGTCTTATCCTGTCGGTAATCCGAAATAACTTTATTATATGAAATATTTACATGGAAAAGTATCGTTGAAATTATGCTACAGAAATCTTTTTATTTCAATTATTTTTAATCAAATGATTTATATATTTCTTTTAATATCTCAATTTATTATTCTAAAGAATAGTGTAAATGATTACATTAAATAACTCCCTTTTTACCACCATCGGCTTTATCTATCATTATATGTTCAAGCAATCCATTGTTAACCATCACTTTCATTGTCTATTTACTATAGAACAGGACTCACCGATCACCGCCCAACGCGAAAGAAGCGTGTTCCAGTGCAACTTACTGCTCTGAAACGAACCGGTCTTGTCATCTACACTCCTTTCGACCAACATCTCAGCGAATAGTCCCAAATTATTCTTCCCGATCAACGGTAAAGATCAAGTGAGTGAATTATTGAACTTAATTGACTATATATTTTGATAATTGTATTATAACGTCAAGAGGAATAAACCTCACTACCAAATAATTAGGCCTTCCTTACTATTCGATTGTGCCAGACCAAAGTCCTTCAAAAAATCAGAAGCTCAAGATTATATAACTGAAAGTATTTATGATTAAATTAAATTTCCGCATGTTTTTATAAAAAACATTTCAATGAAAAAAAAAGTTAGAAATTGAAATTCGAAGCGAAAAATAAAAATGCGAAAGAAGGAACGATCAGTGAAATAGTGATAAAATTACGACATAATAAGGAATCAATTGAATATTATGGATTTTTATTTTCATAAACAATACAAATGTACATCAACTAATTAATATATACGACAGATGGCATAATTCAAATAATAATAATTGATATTTCTGATCCTGGCGGACTTTTTCTTTTGGCTTATTTCCCTCTTATTTTTTAAAGCCGACCCTAAATAATGAATCAAGATGCGGTGTCAATTGAAGTAATAATATTTATAATGAGGAAAAGATGTGTAACCAACTAATTATAGATTATCACTCCTCTACTTTCCTCATGTCTTCTAACACAAGAAAGTAACATTGTCATTTAAATTTGTACTATCAAATATTGGGAGTGCTCACTGAGCTATGTGTTATAATCTATAATTAGAGTATAAATATCTAGCTTAACATCATTTTTTGAAAGCCAGAATTAATCCGATCGTTACTACATGCCTATATGATAGGACGATATGAAAAATAAAGCTGAATTTTGCTCATTTCGTGAATAACTTTGACGGAATGTTAAATGAAATATCAAAATTTTGACTTGTCCTTGGAAGAATGAGTGTTTGTAATCAAACTAAGGCAGTAAATACCGGTAGAGTTCTTAGTTAGTCAATATAAGCCAAGATGTAAGCTAGGCTATCAAATGTTTGTGACATGTACTCCGTATCCCTTCATTAGACGATCAAAAACCGATTGATGGATGAATAGGTAGACAAGTAATAAATTAAGCGGAAAGATATGAACATTCGGACGGCTCAGAATCCTAGTAGATAAGACGGACAGATAAAGCAACACTTGGACTTAATAAATGAAATTAATATGGGAGTGTTAAGTGAAAAAAAATGGGTAGAGTCAAGAAGGTAGATGTGGCATAATGAATTAATCAGAGCTTTACAATTAGTTATCCCGGAAGAAGGAGAGAATGCGACGTAACCACTTCTAGAGTAGTCAAGGTGAGAAGTGAGTTTGATTACAACAGGACTGGCACTCCTTCTGTCTTACTTAATATGCTGAACCGAAATAATATACGAAACCATGGTAACAGTGGGAGACAACTAACTGATGAAAGTTACCATGGAAAAACTGGTTTCAGATTCATATTTGAGGAGGAAGAAATATGCATCTAATAAAGGTATAACCATGGCAATACCATACTTATTCCATTATCGAACTCAGTAAAATTTCCCTTCTTCGGGTTGGTTTTTGGTTGTTGCATATTATTTTACTGAATACTGAAAGAAGCCG